GGCCTCCTCTGGATCTCCCACACAGGTGCAGGGTCCCAAGGCTTTGGGCTGTCTTCCACTGCCTTCCCAGGCCACAAGCAGAGAGGTGGGGCTCCCAGCATTAGAACCAGGGACCATATGGGATCCCAGTGCTTGCAAGGCCAGGACTTCATCCACCAGGCTGGGTCCAGATTTGTTTCTCTTAATGAAAGTACCTATGATTTTTTTTTTCTTTTCATCTTAAAATTGTTTTTGTTGTTTTTAAAAACTTAAATAAAAACACTAAACTTGTCACAAAAATAAATGGGTGTGACTAAGGACGTACGAAACAGTAGATTAACCTTCTTCCTTACCACGTACAAACTAAGCGTAGACCTACTTAAGAGTTAATCTGATTACCCACTTTCCTGTAGCCCTTGAACCTTTTTGCCCTAATTAACTATGTAAAGATTTAAAAAAAAAAAGCAAAATGAAAATGGGAAAAAAAAGTTAATCTGATGTAAGAACTAAACTGTATATTATTGCTGAAAGAAAATATAGGAATAAATCTTTGGAACTTCATGTTATTGATATGGCACAAGTATGAAATAGCTACATGGAACTTCATCAGAATTATAAACCTATGGGATAGGCATTTGGGCCTGCAGTGAAGACACCCACATCCTGTGTGAGAGTCCTGGAGTTTAATGCCCACCCCTAACTGCAGAGGCTGCCCTCCCTGGGAGGCGGCAGTGATGACCATGTAATTGGGTTCTGCCACCCATGTGGGGGTCTGGACTATGTTTCAGTTTGTGGGGTTCACCCCAGCCCAGCTGTTGGGGACAGTTGAACCATAAACCACCAGACGGGAGAGCCAGTACACTTCTCCAGCTCTCTCCTTCCCTCCTTCCCTCACTGTCTCCCCTTACCCCCTCTCAAACAAATAAACAACATTTTTGAAAAAAAAATTAAGAAGCGTTTGCAATGTATTCCACCAAGAAAATGAAAAGATCAGAGTGGGAGAAAATACTTACATAATATGTCCTGGTATCCTGAATATGAAAAACAACAACAAATATCTAAGATAATTTTTTCAGTGAGGAGCTAGCTAACCTGTACTATCCAAAAAGGATACACAAATGAGCAAGAAGCACATGAATAGATTCTTGTTGTCCTTGGGCTTTAGAGAACTGCAAATATAAGCACTTCTTCACACCCACTAGGATTGCTGTAACTAAAAAGGCAGATAATTACAAGTATTGGCAGAGTTGTGGAGCAGTTGGAACCTACATGCATTATGAACAACAAGGCACAATGATGCAGCTGCCTTTGGAAAACAGATTGGCTGTGCTTCAGATGCTAAACATAGAGTTCCAGGACTCAGCATCTCCACCCCCAGATGTGTACCTAAATGAAGTGTGTGCACAGAAACTGGTACACAAGCATCAATGGTTCAGATGTCTCACCAATTAAATGCTGTAATGTTTAAAAAGCATCTGCATTTGTAATAGCCAGAAAGTGGGAGCAGCCCAAATGTAGGCCAGCTGAACAGAGTATCTTGCACTCTCCTGTGTTGCTTAAGGATGGAAATACTTTGTAAGAAGTACACTGTTGTGTGAACATCATAGTGTGTACTTGTACAACTTTGAATGGCTCCAGAGCGGCTGGGTGATTTAATTCTTAGGGACCACTGTTGTTTATGTGGTTCAGAGTCGATCACTATTTTAGTGTGGAGCCACAAGACTATATTCATGAATGAAATGTTGTTCAGCTGCAGCAGAGAATGGTTAGCATGTGCTGCAATATGGATAAACCTGAAAATGCTATGTGATATAAACAGGAGACACATATATTTGATTTCATTTATGTAAAATATCCAGAATAGGCAAATTAATAGAGCTGCAGTAGATGAGCAGTTTCCAGGAACTGGAGACAGGGCAAAATAGGTGCAGTGGATAGATGCAGTTTATTTTGGGGAAGATAGGAAAGCTTTGAGATTAGATTGTGTGACTGTGACACACTATATGCTACAATTCACTGTAATGGGTATGATGTATGATATGCGGATTACATTCTCAATGAAGTTAAGTCAAAGTATAGACAGTAAAGTTAACATGTTATCAAACAATATGACACAGGCTTCAAAAGTAACCACAGCAAATTTCCATAAATGCTATTTAGTTGTAGCTGTTCTTTTTTTATAGTTGTTTTTAAATTTTATTTTATTTTTGATGTTATTTACCTAGTTGTCAAGCATGCATGCCTGTAAGGACCACTGATTAGGGTGGAAAGGGTCAAAGCATAAGGAAAGGTGGGTGGGACAAATGCTTCCAATTTTCCTTTTTGTCCCTTTGCTACTAAATTTGGGAGGGGAAGATGGGTGAAGGGAGGTGGGGAGGAAGACTTCCAGCTGCCAAACTGCATCAGTACCCACGAATGGGGATGTTCGTTTAATGTCGTCTTAGAAACCCCAATGTGGAGAAGAATGTTCTGAGAGTATTGCTTGAGTGCTTTTGATAGTTGTCAGACACTGTTAGTTTTGTTGCTCCAAGGTTTAGACCATCATTCACATCAGGCCACATACACTCTGGTGGTTGTAGTTGCTTGGTCAGTTCTGTCCCCAACAGGTGCTGTGGCTCACCCATCCCAGCCTGCCACAGACTGCAGCTTAGTTGGGGTGACCCCCAATAATTCTTACTAGGCCCTCTCTGAGCCCCGGTTCCTGTATGTAGAGCAGACTAGACTGGTCTCTGTTGCTTCCCAATCAGGCTTTTGTGTACACCTATGTGTCTTACAACTTAGCTTACCCACACTATAGTCCATTCCACATGTATGCAAACAGGGGTTGCCACTTTGTCCAGTTCAATCTGTCCCCAGCGCTGGGAGCTGCAACCCAGCACAGAAGTGCCCACCTTTTTCTCTATTAGGCCCACTCCCAGTCCTGGATCTTGCATTTTCCGGGGGTTACTCCAGTCCGACACAACTTGCACCCTGTCCTGACACTTGCTAGTGGATGCCGTGGCAAAGCTCGGCTGGTTGGCACTTACTGTTGCTCTTGCATGCACAGTGGATGCTGTGCTCTAGCGTAGCCCAGCCCTCCCCTATACCTAGATTTCATAAAAGCCGATGGGCATGTAGCCCCGTCCAGCTTGGACCACCCCCATTCCTAGCTCTCACATTCCCCAGTGAAAACAGTGGCCCATCGAGGGCAGGGGTGGGGTGGAGAGGTGGGTACCTGCAGTCTCCTCAACAGGCTCACTTCTGGCCTGGGGTCTTGTGTGTGCCTATACATGCAGCAGTCCCGTCTGGTATGGCCCATCTCACTTCGGCATTTGCCAGTAGGTGCTGCAGCCTCGCCCAACCCAGCTAGGTTCAGGTCGTAACCCTAACGTGAACTGGCAGGTGTTGCTTTCTCAACCCAGTCTGGACTGCATCCCTTCTTGGTCCTTACATCCTCAAGTGGGTGTTATAGACTAGCCCAGTCCAGTCTTCCCCCCAGACCTGACCCACGTGTATGCTGATAGGTACTATGGCTTGACCTGGACTGTCCAAAGCCTCGATTCCTGTGCTCAACAACTGTGACTGTGTCTTAATAGGGGAATTCCCCAAGCTCCCCTGTATATGTCCAGCTTCCAGTCGTGGATCTCACACCCACCAGTGGGTGCTTGGCTCAGCCTGTGTTGGCTCGCCCCTAGTCCTGACCTACAGCAACAGATACTGTGGCCATGCCAGACCAACCCACTATAGTTAATTTGTTATTTGAAAGGCAGATTTTACAGATAAAAAGGAGAGACAACAAAAGTTTTCCATCTGCTTGTTTATGCCCCAGATGGCCACAACAGCCAGAGTTGAACTGATCCAAAGTTGAGAGCCAGGAGCTTCTTCTAGTCCTCTCACACGGGTGCTGGGTGCCAAGGCTTTGGGCCATCCTCCACTGCTTTCCCAGGCCACAGGCAGGGAGATGGATCAGAAATAGAGCATCCAAAACACAAACTGGTACCCATATGGGATGTCAATGCTGCAGGACAGAGGATTAACATGCCACAACACTGCACTGGCCCCTCATATATAGATATTAGCTAAATAAGTATATTTTCTTCTTCATAACAATAGGTAAAATCTTCAAATAACATTCAGATTCACTTGATTTAAGTGAGGTTTAGTGCTGATTATATTTAATGGGTTGCATAACAGATGAGATGCAGATTGTCTCAAATACTTCTATTTCATTGCACTCTGTTTTAGGAAGATCTTGGACTTAACAGTTCTAGAACAGTGAAGTGCTGGAGTTCCACTGTAGTCTGAAACGGATCATCCAGTTTCTCAAAATCCCAGTTTGAATACTTAAAATTATCTCATGCTGGTTTTAAAACTTTATTCTCCTTTTCTACATAGATTTTATTTGGCGTAATGGGAGATTTTTACAGGAAAAAATATGAATTCAGAGTCTGTCCTTGCTTTGATATGATTGCTCTCAGCAGGTATTTTAGATTTTAAGACTTTGCAAACAGATTGTGTGCAGCTTTTGTGCTCAGTACTGCACCTGAGAAAATAGATTCTCAGTTTGTGATGTTTGGAAAAATTGGAATTTAGTGACATTGTTAGTTAATCTTCTAGCATTAAGTGATGAAGGTTGTTGAAATATTAAGTGAAAAATTCATTTTAACTTTCTTGATATATATACTTTACCCATTAAAAAAATATGTGATTGATTTTGATTGTTTTTAGGTAATACTTATGTCATAGGTTCCAGTTTGGTGTTCTTATCTATAGCTTATTTTAAAAATGTGTTAAATGTATATTATCATTTTTATCTCTTGGTTTGCTTTTTGATGAAATACATATTTTTATAAAAAGTAACAGTCAAGTTGATTTTGGGAATTCAGCTGTAATTGTGCTGAGCTTTTTTAAATGACTGGTGTATGGTAAATGCATTCTTATGGTTCGGGTAAGTGATGATACGGGTTGAGATTCAGTTTTGTGGAGGGTTCTTAGCTTGCTAGCTACACAACCTCAAATTACTAGCTTTTCCTTATTTGCAGAGATCCTGCATATTTTGATGAAAACTGGCTAAACAGAATCAAAACCGAAGTAGGAGATAATTGGAGGCTAAAGGTATTTTTCTTTTTCCATCTGTTCATTTTTAAAAAGATTTGTGTATTTATAATATTTGTCGATTTTCTTTTCTTCTTTTTAAAATTTTGTCTGACATGTTCAGTAAGCTTTAGAAGTTGAAGTGGCTTGTAGTGAGATAATGTAGAATCTGGAGTTGGTGGTACCTTAAGTCTCACCGTGAGAAGATGTAGTATAAAAGTATAAGCTAGTGAAGGGTGATGCTGCCGGGCAAGGACTTGGGGAGCAGAGTGCCTGTGTGTCCCTGCTTGTAACTGGGGATGGTTTGTAGTTCGATGCTTGGAGTAGCACTGTATGTAACAAGAAACACTGATTTTTGTTAACTGTGTACAAAGCACTTAGTGAAACATATTCATCTTCTTAGTAGCCTAATGTTCCAGGATTTTTCAAGCTCCTTTCACAAAAACCCACAGTAAGAAACACAGTTGACATTGTAACCTACTTCCACCTGAATGTACAAGTATGTGTAAGCTGAATAAGTTCTAACCCTTTACATGTGATGTTTATATTTTAAAGAATGCTGGTTGCAATCCAGTACGTTGTTTCTTTATATTTTAAACTTCTACGCTATTGATTCACAGGGAGTTGTCCTGTGTGCTTTTCACCCACACTTGTTGACATCTTGCATAACTGGTTCAGGGTCTAGGAAGCCTAAACTGGCACAGTCACACTGCATGCTGGTTCCACAGTTACTGCACTGTGCTGTGCTGTGTGCTCTGTGTCACACTGCCTTGGTTGTGGCTTCCTATAACAACCACTACTGTGAGGATGCAGAACTCAGTCATCGCTTCCTCAGCACAGGTGCTGCCTTTGTAGCATTATCTGTCCCACCACTGCTCGCTCTTGCCTACCACACTGTTAGTTCTCTGTCCCCGTAACTTTATACAACTATATTGATATTTTTTGCAAGCTTTGTGCACTTATTTTTAAGCGCTAAGCTTGGTTTGTCTTTTTATTTCCCCTAAGGTACATGCTTGATGAGGAGTATTGATTATTTAGGTTGTAGATCTGTCAAATCCAATTCCTTTATTTTTAAAATTAAGTTACTGAGTGGAAATTTTTTGTTAGACACAGAAAGAAATATCTCCCATCCGTTGGTTCACTACCCCTAATACTGTGATAGGTGGGGCTGTGCCACGCTGAGCCAGAAGGCTGGAACTCAGGCCAGTTCTCCCACACAGCAACAGGAACTGAACTGCACCATCACCTGCTGCTTCCAAGGTGTGTGTTAGCAGGAAACTGCAGTATGTACCAGAGCTGGATCCCAAGCCGTTACTCATCCCAAAGGGCACTTTTTGATGGCACTATTTTAATTTAAGGAAAAAAAGGGGTTTTATTGTTTGCTTTGTTTTTTAGATTTATTTACTTTATTGGAAAGGCATGTTTATTGAGAGGAGGAGAGAGAAGGATCTTCCATCTGCTTATTTGCTCCCCAAATGGCTACAATGGCTGGATCTGAGGCAATGCAAAGCCAGGAGACAGGAGCTTCCTCCAGGTCTCCTACCTGGATGCAGCGGTCCAAGCACTTTGGCCATCCTCTGCTGCTTTCCCAGGGCATAATCAGGGAGCTGGATGAGAAGTGGAGCAGCCAAGGACTGAAACCTATGCCCCTATGGGAGATGATGGAGGATTTAGTTGAGCCACTGCACTCACCCCCATTGTTGCCATTTTTAAACAATCTTTCAAGAATAGGCTATTAAAATGACTATTTAAGTGTATTTACTTTACTTGAAAGAATTAGAGAGGGGGAGACAGAGAGAGAGATCTGCTGATTCCCAGTTGGCTCTAATGATCTGAGCTGGGGAGATCTGAAGGCAGGAGCTCGGAGCTTCTTCCAAGTCTTCCACTTGGTTGCAGGATCCCAAGTTCTTAGAGCATCTTCCATTGCTTTCCCTACAGGGAGCTGGATTGGGAGTAAAGCAGCTGGGGCTCGAACTGGTGCCTATAGAAAATGCTGGTGCCGTAGGTGCAGGATCAGGATGCTGTGCCACAGCACTGTACTCTGAAATTATTCATTTTTAATGTCATAAGATGTTTAAGACAATTCATGGATTTTAAAGCAAGGCTACTTACCATTAAACAAAGCAGGATTTGCATCTCTCTACCCCTGCATGCACACAAGTAAACCTCTGTGTGCTATCTTCAGTGTCCTGAGTATTACTGAGACCCAAGTTCAGAACTGAAATTCCTGTACCATCCTGTGTTAGACATCTTCAGTTTTGCAATACTGCTGGTTAAAGATGATCTAAAAAGCTTTCTGTAATGGAGAAAAAAATTTCTATTTTAAATTTTATTGATCTGTAAGACTGTCAGGTTAAAATATGAAAAAAGTGAGCATCTAGAATAAGGAAGTAAAACACAAGATTCGTTGTTTGTATAATCCAGTTTTTGCACAAATATGTTAATTTTACTACAGAGTTTTTGTTTGTTTTAATGAATAGGCAGTTTTTAGGTTATTTTCTTCTATAAACATGGAGGTCTTTCGCCACTAACTTGTACTGCAAGGCATTTGCCCCTTTCACTTGATAGTCCAGGCTCTGCTTTATTCTGTTCTAGGACCTCATCAGGGGCAACCTGAGCACCCCTCACTTGGAACTTGAAACTTCTGGAGAGCCAGCTTGATTTCGGGGCAGGCATTGTGGCCAGTGGGGTAAGCCACTGTGTGGAACACCTGCATCCCATATGGGATAGCTCCTCTGCTCCCATAAACACCTGAGAAGCAGCAGATGGTGACCCACGTGTCTGCCACTCACAGGGAGCCCCTGGAGTTCTGGGCTCCTGGCCTGGCCTGGTCCCGCCCTGACTCTTTTGAGCATTTGTACAGTGAATCATTGGATGGGAGATTGATCTCTCTTCTTTCAATAGTTGAACATTTTTTAACAGTTTTAGATTTCAGAATATTTTGAATGTTAGATTTTCGGATAAGGGATAGGTGTACTTCATGTAGAATGATTGGTTGGCTCAGAAGTTTTCTTGTGTTAAATTGTATTTTCACTTAAATGAAATTTAACAAATGTGTGTCTTCATTTGTTCTCTATTTTTAAACAGATTAGCAATTTAAAGAAGATTTTAAAAGGAATCCTGGATTACAATCATGAGGTAAGGAGTTTTCACTCATTCCTATTGGAAATATTACCACAGGATAGTTTGATTTTATAATTGTTATAAAATAAGGAACTTTTGCTTCAAAATTAGTCAGTTTGTCTTCCATCATTTAGTTTCTAGCATATTTTTGCTTATCAGCCATTTATTAGGTGATCAGTAGAGCAATAGTCTTTTTTTTTTTTCTTTTGCTGTACATTGGGTCATATGACAATGATTGTTACTTTTTGTTGGATTTACTTTATGCTACCAGTTATCTCCTTTCTTGCATGATTTGTGAAGGTCGTATGAGGTCTGTGTGCCAGTCATCTCCATGGTGGTCTGCCATTTCTTCCCTTGGAAAAGCTACATTTCTGGGTGAATGGATTTTGCCCTCTGGATTTATATCAGAACAGTCTGGCACTGATGGAGAGAAATTGGGCAGTACAGTAACTAGCTTCATGTTACCTTTCTCTATCCCAAAGGATAAACAGACACCACACTGCTAGAACTCAGCTGCTGCATCATTTCCTTACAGTCCATTTCCCCACAAGTTTTACCTCTACTTACACTCACATCTGTTCTCATTAAATGGACCAGCCAGGACACTAACTGACACCCAAATGGAATGTGGGCACTGCTGGTTGAACCATTACGCTAGCTCTTAGAAATCTTTTTAGATTGTAGCAAAGTAACATGATATACATATCTAGTATTATGCACATACTCCCAGTGCTGTCTGGGTTTAAGCAAATAGCACTTACCTGTGCAGCAAAATAGTTATTCATTCTAACAGGAATAAATAGAACAATAAACTCATTCTGTGAAGACCTGCTGCTTGTCCTTGGATTTTCTTTGTTTTTCTTCATTTATTCCATCTGTTGAGTCCTGTGTACTTCTTTCCTGGTTTACTGTTTTATTTTGATGGAACACATTTCAGGAGCATTTTTAGGAAAGTACATGGTGAACCTTTGGTATTTTAAAAAACCTTTGTACATGGAATGAGTGTTAGTTCAGCCTTTGTCCTGTAGGGTTGAGCTGTATTTGGAGTTTCGGGGTGAAAGTGATCTCTTGGTGGTTTGGGAGCTGTGCTTCATTCACCTCCAGCCTGCAGCAGTGGTGTTGAAGTTTTTCTTGTTGCTGTTTTCTGTTGGTGACATATTCATTTCTGGAAGCTTCCAAGAACCCTTCATACCCCAGAGCTCATGCTGTATGCTTTGGGGTGAAGTATTTTGTGTGATATATATATATATATATTTTTTTTATTGTGCTTGGCATTTAGCAAACCCTTAAAATTTGGATATCTGCTTGTTTTAGTTTTAGAAAATTTTCTTCTGAATGTCTACACTTGACTCTTTTAAAACCCTTTATTTTCTGTTTACTCTTTTTAGAACTTCTGTCCAGCCTTTGAACCTCCTTTTTTCAGAACTGATTGATTTGAAAGGCAAAGTGGTCCTCTGCTTGCTTATTCCCCTAGATGCCACTAGAGCCAGGGCTGCGGCAGGAACTCTGTCTGTGTCTCCCATGTGCGTGGAGGCCCAAGCACTTGGCCATCTTGTGCTGCTTTCTTGGGCACATTAGCAGATAGCTGGATCAGAAGCAGAGCAGCAGAGACTTGAACTGGCACTTGGACATGGGGATGCAGCACGCTAATCAGCTGCTTAGTGTGCTGCACCATGGCTCCAGCCCCTGACCTGCTTTTATGTCTTGCGGTTTTGTCCTGGTTTCTGAGATAATACGTACCTTTCATGCAGTGTGTTTGTTGAAGTCTCCATTTCTGCTGTTGGAATGCCCCAGAGCACACATTGTTTTCTGAGTGGTACTTCTATAAACTGTTCTTCCTTTAGGAATGTAATACTTTCTCTTACCTTTGCGAGAATATTAATAAAAGATGAGGTTTTTTTACTTTCATGTTTTGCTTACTTTATTCTTTCTCTTAGAAGACACCTCTGCCAGCAACTTATTTTATATCTTTCTTGAGAATAACATTGTATCCTTCTTGGGTTGATATATTCTTGTTCACTGGATTGGATTTACTTTCATTAGGGTAAAAGCCATATCCCTAACCTAACTCAGTAGGACCAAAATGACCTGCTTCTGCACCCTAAATCCCACTCCCAAGTACCCCAGCCTGCCGAACAGGCTGCCTTCAGAGTCCATCTGCCCTTCTGTCTCCATACGTGCCCTCCTTCCACATCCAGCTGTGTGGCTTGTGTGTACCCCTGCCCACTGCCCCCCAACTCACTCAGTGTTCCTCCTGACTGCGCCTGCCTCCACATGTGCCCTCTGGGCTCTCTGTGGTGTGCTCAGCTTCCACATACACAACTGTGTGGCTTGTGCTGCCCCCACCCCACACCCCCAGGCTCACTCAGTGTTCCCCTTTCCTCTTTACTGCATTCCTCACACTGCAGCACTTTGTTGGGGCTCCGCCACACAGTCACTGTGAGATAAACATGATTTTGGAAAAGGACACAGTAAGTTCCTGTGGGGTTTAATAGTTGTAAAGTAAACGTTCATCCTACAACCCAGGTCAGTAGGACCTGTTTTGGGGGTGTTGATATTTACAAGTAAGGCTCAGGGACAAGTGTTTGGCATAGCAGCCAAGATGCTGGCTGGGTTGCTCACAACACCTACTGGAATGCCTGGGTTGGAGTCCCAGCTTAATTCCTGATTCCAGCTTCCTGCTAATGTGCACCGTGAGAGCTAGCAGCTGATGATCCCAAGTAGTTGTGACACATGTGGAATCCTGGATTGAGTTCATGGTCCCTGACTTCAGCCTATGCCAATGGATGAGAAGTCTCTGACTCCCTGCTTTTCAGACAAAAAAGTAAATAAAGCACTGTAAAAGGTGTTTAGATTCTGAGTGAGGGGCCTTTTTAGTGGTAAATTTCACTATGTGCATATCAGTCATTTATTTAGCCTGTCTTCCCTTTAAGAGAACCTCTATTCTCCTTCCTGATGAAGATTGTCCCACCAGCATTTTAGGAGTTACACGAAGTGAAGGTGGCTCAGGGGACCTTACTGCTGGGGACATGATGTTTTTATTAAATAAAACAACAATAATATTTATATTTATTTAAAAGGCAGAGTTAGAGGAAGAGTTAGATCTCCCAAGTGGCAGGGACTCAAGTAATTGGGACATGTTTTACTGCTTTCTCAGGAGCATTACAGGGAGCTGAATGGAAAGTGGAGCACTTGAAAGTCTAGCTGACACTCACATGGGATGCTGATGTTGGAGGTGGTGGCTTAACCTGCTGCACTCTGACCCTATGACGTTAAGTCTCAGCTTTAGAGCACGTGTGTGTCCAGGCCTTTTGTTGCAGAAGCATCAGTAATACTCATTGCTTTGCTCAGTGCCCATAACACATTCCAGGATAGTTAAAATCTCAGTGTGAAAGGCAAAAACCAGAAGCTGTGTGTGAGGACAGTAACACTGTCCTTAGCAGTTATCTGAGGGTAGCAGGCTCATCAGTATCGGATACAGCATTTGACATATCGGTGTGACAGAAGTATCTCCCTGTCTCCATCCAGATCCTAGGACAGCAGATTAACGATTTCACCCTTCCTGATGTGAGCCTTGTTGGGGAGCATTCCGACGCAGCTGAGCTCGGGAGAATGCTACAGCTCATTTTAGGCTGCGCTGTGAACTGTGAACAGAAGCAAGGTAATTTATTTGAAGTTAAGATATACTTTGAAAAGTGCAATTAATTTACAGATTTTATTAGGCAGTGCAGTACTTTTATATGTACCACAAACTCAAGGTGATAGATTTGTGGTTTTAGGGAAGTTACTTGAAAACTGGCTTTATATGTAAGATAATAAAGGAATAAATTTAAAAATTCTTCCCTTGTGTTTATCTTAATAGCTTTTCTCTTCCTTATATTGGTAATTACTCATTTGCATAGAACTGAGTTATTTCTAAAAACTGCTGCCCAAATTTATTATGTGTAGCATAAATACTTTCACCATTTTTCTCCTCTCTGTAGTTGATTCATTTCACAAGCATTTGTTGAACTGATGTATTATCTAAGGGTGGGAACACAGTGTTATACAAAACAAGCAAATGTATGTGCCTGAGGAACTTGGGTGGAAGGGATGATGTTAAATAATTACACGAATAATTAATCGGAGCGATGACTGGACATATCAGGGTCAGGGAAGTTATTTAAGTAAAAATATGGAGTATAATCTAGATAGTATAAATTCTAGAAACTTAAATCAGTCTAAACTTTGAGAAATTGAGAAGTCCACAACATTGTACTTAGAATATAGTGAGAAAAAGATGAAGCAAAATGAAGCAGGATAAGGAAATGGGACTGCTTCAGATAATGCCGTTATAGAATCTTACCTTCACTCACTTTGGAATAAGTGAATATTTTTAAGCTTAAACTAGTGTCCTAGCCCATCCCTGATAATGCAACTTGTTATTGTATCTTTTTTATGTTCTTGTGGTAAGTTTAATTGTAGTCACCATTGTTCTCTTGACGTTATGAAGAGTTTTATTGGTCTCTGATTACAGATATTTATTTTTATTGGAAGGGCAGATTTACACAGAGAAGCAAAAACAGAAAGATCCTCCATCTGCTGGTTCATTCCCCACATGGCCACAATGGCCTAAGCAGAGCTGATCTGGAGCCAGGAGCTTCTTCCAGATCTCCCATGTGGCAAGTGGGTGCAGGGTCCCAAAGCTTTGGGCCATTCTCTACTGCCTTCCCAGGCCACTGGCAATGAGCAGGAAGAGAAGTGGAGCAGCTGGGATACCAACCGGCATCCATTTGGGTGCTTTCAAGGCCAGGGCTTTAGCCACTAGGCTACCGCACTCAGCCCTAAAGAGCGTGTTTCTTCTTGGCCTCATTCCTTTTAGATTTTATTGAGTCATGCTCTTATAGTAAATTTTAGTTTACATATTAATGTAGTTCAAGAATTAAAATAGGCTCAGGGAACAGAATTTTCTTATAAGCCAGAAAGCCTTTTTTTTTTCCTCTTTCAATACTGGTTCAGAACCATTTTAAATGATCACAATACACTTTCTCATTTGAACACAAGAAACTAGATAGAATTCAGTTCTTTTTTTATCTGTTACCATGGTTTATGAACCCCAGGGATCATAGGATGACGCCTGTCAACAGCCGAGGCCACTGGGATGGATGCCCTGCTCAAAAGGCAGGCTCATTCCCTGAACTCTCCTCAATAAATCTTCCCGTCTGAAAAATAAAAAGGAAAAAGAATTAAAATAGAATTTCTACATTTGATTATTATATATTACTAAAATGTTTTAATTTTAAGGTAAATGATAAATTATTGTAGTTCTCAATATCTGGAAATTCATCAACTTTGAGGATTCTGCTTAACACATCAGTATCTTTGGAAGCATATGGCTGTTAAGAGTTGGCTAACCTTCCTATTTAATACCACACAGAATTAAGAAAAGACAGAAGATGGATGGTACATGCCCCCATAGTCCTTTGAAAACAGCACAGTCTGTTGGATTTCTCATACAGATCAGAACTCTATTAACATCTAAATTCAGTTTTGCCTTTGAATAGCAGAAATGTTGCAGGAGCAGGAGGTAGCATTCAAGCATTCACTTGTCCAGACTAAAGGCGTATCTACTCTTAGGGACACAATGGAGGCTAAGAACCAAATTAAGTTTCTTAATGAAGTATTAGCTGTCCCTGCATATTTATGGTATGCTTATAACGCAAGGCTTACAGAAGTGGCTCTTACAACCTGATTTACTTTGGATAAGACATTCAACATGTTTACTTGTTTACAAAATGAGAGAGCAAAATCTGGGAGATACCAGAGTTAAATGAAATTGTGTGTTTGCTTTGTAGTCCATCCCTAAAGCTCCATGCAAATTAATGGCTTCATATTCAGTCTTTCCTATGAGAAAACATTGACTCAAATGCATATTATTTATCTTGGCTACCTGATTTCTCCAATTGGGCCAAATAAAATGGTGGTACATTGAAAAGGCAAAGCACTGAAGAGAATATTTACTTAGTGTTTGTTTTCATTCTGATACTTACTAGACACAGAATAAAAAATAGTTTTTATGTTCACAAAATGGGATTACTTAGCATTATCTAACTTGCCCAAGATTTCTTGTGAGAGTCTAGCTGAGGACAAAAACCCATGTTTCTTCTGCATTTGAACTTAATATGCTTTGTACTAAACTATGCTGTAAATTTTAGATGGCCAAGGTTCCAGAATAAACTCCCTCACCTAGCATACCTTGTTTAGTCTATAGCATTGCCTCAGAGATGTGTACCCAGTAGTCACATATAATTTATTTTGGACTTTAAAGGTCTTTAAATTTTTTTATGAATAACATAATTATCATCACCATTTTTTTCATTTAGCATTTTACGGTGTTCGCGGGGAAGGGCCTTGACGTGGCAACACCGCTTCTAAACTAACGCTTCCCCTCTCACACCTGACTAACTTCGTACCTCTCTTCTTCCACTGTGGTGGTCTTCACATCGAGCAGGCTGTCATCAGATTTTCCTTCTTCATCACCAGTACCACTGCTTCTTCTCTTCCATGTCCACACTTTTTATTTTGAGAGCTAGTTAGCCGTGGTAACTCTGTGAACATCTCTGCTGCCTTTGAATTCTCTGTTGCATAGTTTGAACACGTAACTACAAGCTCTCTGTTGCTATTTTCCGGCATTCACAGGGTGATCTTTATCAAGAAAATAAACCGAATGATAGAAATCAAACTAAAAAGTTGTTTTTTGACTGAACACTATTTGAGTTACAATATGCTACTGCTGTTGGCCTAAGAACAGACTATGATTTAGTTATTTCATTTGTATTTGTATAACCAAATATTTGACTGAGTCTAAATATTATGATGATGTTTACTTAAAATTTTGACAAACTAAAAGTTTTGGCAGTTAAGAATCAGAGTGTCATAATTTAATTGTGTTGTAAACATAGTTTCTGTTTCAAAATAAATTATTAGGACAATCATTGCAGTTTGGTATTCAAAACACATGTGTATCTTCTTAAAAGATTACTCAAACAATTTCCCAGTAAGATCCCTTTGTATTCTAATCTGAGGAGTCAGAAGACTTTTGAATGTCTCCTATTTTGGATGTATGGGGTCAAAGAAACAATTGAGGCTAAGATTTGTATATCACTTTAGTCTTTCAAAATTTTTTTATGAAAAAATACAACATTATCCAGCTGACCCGCTGATTTTTTTCTATGCTTAATTCCACCTTTATCATCTGTTGCTTAGATCTAAAATATTGAAAACTATTTGCAGAATTTTTTTAGAAGGGAAAAACTTAAGAATTTTGCATCTCATTGCCACTATAAGCTAGAAAGATCTTACTCTTTTTGGCTGTGGTAAAGATGTACCTTATGGGGTTGCTTTGTTAGCTTAATTATGAATTGTGGGACATTTTAAAATTCAGGATTATATGATAGCTGTTTAACTGTGATAACTTCTATCTTAAATTCTCAATTCTTTATCCTAAGCAACTCAGTTTTATTTTGCTTTTCTGTATTAGAAGATACTAAGGTGGGTACTGTACATAAGTCAGTGCCTTGCTATCACATAATGTGAAAGATGATTTTTAGATTAGAAAGTAGTATGGAATTCTTTCCACCTTGATTTGGATCCCATTTCACTGTTTCACACAATCACACATTCATGCTGATGCTACATCCCAGGACTTGGTGTTGAAAGCTCAATTTTGTAGGGAATGATAAAAGGAAAAAGTTATTTCAAGGAAAGAAGAATGCTTTGCTTCTCAGCTTTTACTTTGGCTCTGCCTGTGGGATTCCTAGGAAAGTACTTGGGACAAGTTTTGGAGTGTTAGCCTGTGTTCCCTTGACTGTCTTTGACTTGAACAGTGACATTCCAGATTGTTCTTATTTTCAGAGTACATCCAAGCTATTATGATGATGGAGGAATCTGTGCAACACGTTGTCATGACAGCCATCCAGGAGGTACGTTGAAGCTTTGTACTACAAGTTTGTGAAAAGTTGAAGGAACAAACATAAGTTGAAATAATGGAAGAAAAATTCTAAAAAGAGCTTTTCCTACTTATATTTAGGGAACTGTTTTACTTACATTTGTGAAACAGTAACATTGTTTACAAAGTTGAGAGAGATGCATGCCCATGTAGACCTCCAGTTAGGGTGGAGAGGATGGTGGGTGGGACACAGGAGGGGGATGGTAGAGGGAGTAAGCTGTGCCTTGCTGTCAAACTACACCAGCACGCAGAGATTGGGGACAGTCACTTGATGATGCTTTGAAGACCCCAATGTGGGGAAGAGTTTCCAAGGGTGTCACTTGGATGGTTTTAATAATTCTGAGACATTGTTGGTTTGGTGTACCAGGGTTGATAAAAATCTATCCAAGGTCTGTTGGTTGACCAGTTCCACTTTAGTGCATCCACAGACCCAGGAACATGCTGCAGAGCTTGGCCTGGAGAATTGTCCAACCTATTCTGCTTTCCATTCTTTGACAAGGTATTTGATGTCCCCTACTGGCCTGGATGTACTGGCCATCATGCCTCCCATGTGCATCTGCTATATTCTAGTGGGTCCTGTGGCCTAGCCCGATGTGGCTCACCCCCTACTCTGACACTTGCAGGCAGGTACTTGGTCCAGCCCAGCCCAGCTTGGCATGCTCCCTAATCCCAGATTTTGCATGTACTACTGAGTGGCAGGCAGTGCTACTTATACTTAGCTTACCCCAAGTCTCCCACAGGGGCAGGTGCCTTGGCCTGACCCAGGCATGCCTTCCAATTTCCCCACTTCTAAATCGCCTTGTCCATTACATTGCTTACCTCTGTGTGCAATGGCCTAGTCCGTGGAAACCAGCTGAAGTCATTCCTTGTCTGTCAAACATGTCCTCAGTCATACCTACAACTGCCTGGGGCTGAAGTAGTGTGTCTCAGCCTGGCGTTCCCTGCCTTCCCTACATCTGTTTAAAAAAAAAAAGTGGTATAGAAAAAGCAACTAAGCTGGCATATGGATATAGTTAACACAAATTTGGCATTAGCCAGGCCCAGGGTGCCCATTAGCCTTAGCTGCTTTTCTCCCAGCAGTGTGACACTTGCCTAGGTACAAAGCAACCTAGGTAATTGCCTATAGCTGGGTACTATTTAAAGTATTCTTTTTTTCTTTTTTAAAGATTTATTTTATTTTTTATTGGAAAGTCAGATATACAGATAGGAGGAGACACAAGGAGAAAGATCTCCCATCTGATGATTCACTCCCCAAGTGACCACAACGGCCAGAACTGAGTCTATCTGAAGCAGGAACCCAGAGCCTTCTCCAGGTCTCCCACGTGGGTGCAGGGTCCCAAGGCTTTGGGCTGTCCTTGACTGCCTTCCCAGACCACAATCAGGGAGCTGGATGGGAAGCAGAGCCACCGGGATCAGAATTGGTGCCCACATGGGATCCCAGCACATACAAGGTGAGGATTTCAGCTGCTAGGCTACCGTGCCAGGCCCTCTTTAAAGTATTCTTAATGAACTAGGAATAATAGACTAATTTCTTAAGCTAATAAATACTGACGATAAGTTATTAATAAATTAAGCCAGGGTCTACCTCTCCTTGAATTACTGATTCCATTTGACAGCAAAGGGTCATCAGCTGCAAATATAGCAGAGTAATTTGTGGAGGAACAGTTACTCTGTTTTTTTAAAAAGATTTATTTAGGGCCTAGCATGGTAGTCTAGTGGCCAAAGTCCTTGCCTTGCATGCTCCGGATCCCATTTGGGCACCAGTTGGTGTCCCGGCTGCACTATTTCCCTTCCAACTCCCTGCTTTTGTCCTGGGAAAATAGTAGAGGATGGCCCAAAGCCGTGGATCCTGCACCTGTGTGGGAGATCTGGAAGAAGCTCCTGGCTCCTGGCTTTGGAGCAACTCAGTTCCAGCCATTGCAGCCACTTGGGGAGTAAACCAGTGGATGGGCGATCTTACAGAGAGAAGGATAGATAGAGAAGGCTGTCCATCTGCTGGTTCACTCTCCAAATGGCTGCAACAAACAGAGCTGAGCTGATCTGAAGCTTAGAACCAGGAGCCTCCTCTGGGTCTCCCATGTGGATGCAGGGTCCCAAGGACTTGAGCCATCCTGTGCTAGTTTCCCAGGCCATAAGCAGACAGGTGGATCGGAAGTGGACCAGCTGCAACATGAACCAGTGCCCTTATGGGATGCTGGGGCCACAGGGTGGAGGATCAGCTTGTTTAGCCTTAGCACTAGCCCCAGATAGTTAGTTTAAATGTAAAGTGTAGCACCAAAAAAAGAGAAAAGAAATGTCAGCCTTTAGCCTAGCGGTAGGGCCATCCACAAGGGTATGTGGTTCAAGTGTCAGCTTCTTGCTAGTGCACACACTGGAAGGCAGCAGGTGCTAGAAGTCCCTGGAGAACTTTTGTGACGACTCAAGGCATATACTTCACATAAAAATGCTCGTTCCCTCCAGAAACAAATATATTTAAAGTAACAGTAAATTCAGACTACTAATTGGTCAATCTTGGACGTGAGAATATTTTCAATCAAAAAGCAGTGGAAGGTACCTTATTTGAATGTGCAGATTTCAAAAATTGTTTGCATTGAAATGAATTTTTCATTACATTTCCATGAAATGTTTAAGAAAAAGGATATAAACTCAAGTGAATTCATTCCTTATTTATTAAATTTATGCCCAAAAGTACATAAGATAAGGCTAAGTATGGTTCCAAATCCACTTTAATTTGTCCTCTCCCCCATGAAATCAGGACATGTTAACTTCCAGAGCATCATCAAGTGACAGTGTGAAAAATATTGCCAGCAAAGAAACTCACCAGAGCTTTCCTACAGTCTTCATTAGGATTTGAAGCTGGGACTGATAGAATCATTGCCCAGCAGGATGAAATTGATGATCAGGTCTCCTTCCACCTTCCTGGAGATTGGGCGCATGTCAGCTGTCTGAATCCTCAGGCTTCTGCTCACATGGCTGATTTTACTGCCTGTCAGGCCCCAAGTGGAGTCAGCTCCTTAGCATACACTGTTTAGAGGTGTGAATAGTAAAGACACTTCGGTGGAATGCTTAAGACTTAGAGACCACTCCCCCAAAACTGGAATCACCAACCAGCTAGAGGACCTTTCAGGAAATAACAAAAGTGTTCAAAAAAACTGATCTGTTTGGTAATTGATGATTGGTGGCCAGAATGTAAACTGGTGTATTTTTTAAGGACTTTATAATACCCTTTGATATCAGATGAAGTTAGTCTTGAGTATAAAAATACCAAAGTCAGTTACTGTCTGGGCAATATACATGGTGGGATTTGTATTAAAAGACTCACTTGAGGGTCCGGCGCAGTGTTGTAGAGGTTAAGATCCTCACCTTTAGTATGCCAGGATCCCATCTGGGTGCCTGTTCTAGCCCTGGCAGCCCTGCTTCCCATCCAGCTCCCTGCCTGTGGCCTGGGAAGGCAGTGGAGCACGGCCCAAGGCTTTGGGGCCCTGCACCTGCGTGGAAGACCCGGAAGAGGCTCCTCTCAGTTCCAGCCCTTGCGGTCACTTGGGGAGTGAACCATCTTCCTCTCTGTCTCTTCTCTCTGTATGTCCACCTTTCCAATAAATCTTTATTTTTTTAAAGACTCATTTGAAAGGTAGCATTTCACAGAGGAAGACAGACAGAACTGTCTACTGATTCATTTCCAGAGTGGTCTCAGTGCTGAAGCTGGGCCAGGATGAAGCCAGTAGCCAATATCTTCTTCTGGGTCTCCCACACAGGTCCAAGGACCCAACCACTTCAGCCATCTTCCACTGCTTTCACAGTTGCATTAGCAAGGAGCTGGATAGAAAATGGATCAGCTGGAACTTGAATTGGTGTCTGTGTGGGATGCCATAATTGAAGGCATGCCTGAAAGCATTATGCCTGCTCCGACCAGCAGAGCCAGTAACATGGACAGGGAGAGGGTCTGGGGATGAAGCACCAACAGGAGACCAGTGATGGTGGAAGTCTCTGCAAAGTCTCCCTTTATTGCTCCTTCACCTCTCCTTATATACTCTCCCCACCCCTTCCTCATTTAGCAGGATATTGGATACAGATGAGAACAATTAGTCTAGGTGTTTTTAGCCACAAGCCCAGTTCCTGTTCCTGCCCAGTCTAACGAGCACTATTCAACTCCTTAGCCCACAACAGGTCCCCCTTTTTTGTTTTAAAGCAGACTTGAATGTGCCTGTCTTAGGTTGTGGGCTCTCAGGTTATCAGCCTTATCCGTCATCAGGAATCTCCGTAGAATGATGGAGCCCCTGTCTTAGGTTTGTCAGTGCCTGGTCCATCTTACCTGTCACTGGCTGCGTTGCCTGCTGCAGCTGCACAAACCATACTTGGAGAGGCTGGCAACCCTGTTCCATTGCTAGGAGTATCTTTAGCTCGGAAGCAATGAGCAGACAGCAGTTCCCGGGCTTGGGAAACATTTTGCACTTGCATAGATGTTACATACATCAACACATATGATGGGGAACAAGAGGCCCTGAGCATATCCCACAGCATCTGCTGCTCCTCTGCCAACAAATCAACTTGCTGTTACAATATAAGCATGCCTACCCGCACATGTTCATCAGTACAGTTCCGTTGTTCCATACTTTAGTGTCCCAAACTCTGGGATGTGTATCACGTCAATTTGCAAATAATCTTAATATAATTCAATAAACCTGATTAACTCCACAAAATGGGAGATTAATTCATTGGCATTCTTGAGACCTTGTAAGAATACCAAGGGAAGCCCTAGAATTTGAAATTTTTGAATTCTTGCATACCTTTTTAAAGATGGCTAAAAACATCTGGACTGTGAGAATTTGGGTTTAATACAATTCCGAAAAAGTTGAAATTCCAAATAATTAAACAGAGAAATAAGTTGTATTTTGTCTGGGGCTATTGCTAATCTTGCCTCAACTGAAGGGAAAGACGCTGAAGTTGCTCCCATAAATCTCACAGCTGCGTCCT